CATTCCTTCCGGCATATGCCCTTTGAGTGACCATATCCTGAAAAGCATCAGATAGGGATTAGGAGAAACATACAAAGTTAAAATTCTATCGCACGACTTTAGAATAATGAAAAACGTGAATTTTACTAAACATCTTATAGCCTCTCATTCGTAAATGTGGCGAGCTTCACACTTGTTGACACCCAATTTTGTCCCTCATTTCTTGTAATTCATTCTATTGAGCTTCTAAAATGTTAACAAGTTAAATATTTTTTATTTCACTATTAGTTTTGGTTATAACTATCGTTATCGTAATTATCTATAACTCTAACCAGTGTTTTAAAAAACTCTGTTGGGACTCGCCTCGGGGATCACCTTGGGGCAGGGCTCTAGCAAAACGCCCTGAGACTCAAGTGTGGGGCTTAGTTCTGTAAGTCTTACGCCCCAAGTGCCCGACTATACGCCCTAAGCACACCCAACGCCCAACGTTCGGGGCTCGTCTAACCGATCTTACATAAATTATATGTTAAAATCTTTAGTTAACATTATTGACCCTAATAATTCTTGAATAAGTGAATGATACTTAATAATTTTTTAATCTATAGAGATACGAAGACTAAGAGTAACTCAAATAACAAGTTGTAGAATCGCATCTTTACTATTTGGTAACGCTGTGAATATGATTATATTACTTAACATTTCTTGTAAAAATAATTATCTGAATTTTACTTTTCACTTATCATTGGCGTTCATGATTTTATCATATGTCTCAACATTATCACATTTTATTTAGCTATTTGAATTTTTTTAATTCATAATGAAGTTCTATTTTTTTATAATACTAGTAAGTTTTATTAATTATTTTCTTTGAGGGGTGTAAATTGTATAGTATGATAAAAAAAATATTTTTAGAAATAATTATTCTTTTGTTAATAGAAATTTAAGATATTAGATTATTTATATTTGTATAATCACAGTAGAAGTCTTATTTTCTATGAGTTTCCTTAATCATGTTTGTAATTATTTCAAAATATTGATGTATAATTTTTATAATTTCATGTTATTATATTATTATACTATATTGTAAATTAAAAATTTAAAGATCCATAGGACTCACGCCCCACGTCTCAACGCTTACGCCTCGCCCTATACTAAATAAAATGTCCCGCTTCACGCCCCCACCTTTTAAAACACTGCTCTAACCTTTATTATTTTTATGGTTATCATCCTTTTATTATCATTTTCACTATTTTAAAATTATATATTTTATTGTCAAAACTATTACATATTGTCATCTTATTTAAAATGATTGTTATTACTTTATCTCAAGTTTCTTACTTACTAAACTTTTTACATGTATATGTTTGTCTTCTTTTTCATTTTTTATACAATTCCAACTTTGTCAGCCAAAAGATAAAAAATGCTACACCATTTTCATGTATGCTTCCTAATTCAATATATTCATCAAGATGCATATGAGTCCAACACATAGCAGATATGGCTTCAGAAACGAGCTCACCATTTCGAACATAAATCTGACCAGATCACCTGAAGGCCATGTCCATCCAAGAACACAACGTTCAAATTTCTATGTACATCTTTTTCAACTCAAAATCCCACCCAAATGAGATCCTAGAGCTTAAACCACTTCTATAAATATTTCCTCTATTTTTTAGTAAAAAAAAGAGTTTTGGTTGTGAAGAAAAATCATCCAACAAGCGTTTACACTCACAAGAACATCACTTTTAAATTTGAATATTACTTACAAAGGATTTTTGAATCTCCTCTCTATTGCACTTGACTTTATTTGAGAAACGGGTGTAGATTCGAGGCCTATAACTTCCCCGTTCACTGCTCCACAAGAGGTAAAATCTTAATCTTTTCCTCTTTATTGATAGATGATCGCGTTTGAAATATTAGAGTTGCATTTAGATTATTTTTATAACTGAAATAGATTGTTAATAAATGAGTTATATTCATGTAATGTTTCTATATTTTATTCACATCCAAATATTACTTTAAAGTTATTCTTTGAGAAATCTTGACATATTACAGAAGTTTTTTTTATATATTCATAATGTGATTAGTATGTGAATTAATATGTCTACTACGAATGGTTTGGAATGTTGATTCTTTTTAGTATGTGATAAGAAAATATTACTTAATTTTTCTTTGTTTCTAAGTTAGGGATCTTGCCTATATATTAAAGTAAAATGGTTTGATTATATTTATATGTAAGGTTATGCAAATCTGGATTAAAAAAAAACTTTATTTTTGTTATCTTATTACTTGACAGTAGTGGTTGTTATATATTTCTAGCTTAGAGAACTACTTAGTGTTTCTCTTAGTAAAAGTCAGATCCTTTACGTTTTGGCAAATATTTGTTCTAATAAGGGTTGATAAATTCTATATTTATTTGTTGTCTTTCATTTATATTATATTTTTCTTGCAGATATATTTTTTTCTAATTTACTTTCTTATTTCCTATCTTATCTTTGTTTACATGTACACACCGGAGTAATACTATGTGATTAATTTTTTCACATGGTTATAATTTTGGAGTTTGGTTAAATGTTCTTTTTCATAAAAAATGACCGTGCTTGCAAAGCAACTCTTGTTGTTTTCCTAACAAATCTAATCTTTCTTTGATTATAAATGGGCCGTCATCACATCTACTCCCTTTTTCAACCAACAATAAACTCAAATGTTTTCAAACTCTTTTTAATTGCATTTTGTCTTTAACAAGAAGGAGTTTTTATAAAATATTTTTTTAGTATCTTTAATAAATCTATTTGACATTTAACATTTATATCGTAATTTTTACTTTCTTACACTTAGCCTAATTAATTATTTAAGTTCGGTCGGTTAACCAGTGTTAATGGATCTTAAAGGATGTCTTACCCCTTCTCTTTAGATTAATTGAACCCTTACCTAGAATCTCATGTTTAGTAGACCTTAAAATGGAGTTAATTTTAGACAAAGACTAATCAATTTTAGGTTCCCTAATTCACCGTAATAATTAGGTGGCGACTTCCTAAGTTAGTTAATTAATTAGGAATAACCAAAATTTTGTACACTATTTTTACTCGATTAAAATGGGGTATAACAACTTGACGACTTCACTGAGAACTTTTTAGGTTCTAACCACAATGGATTTAGTTTAATTACGTTTTTATGTGTTTAATTTTATTATATTATTTGTCGTAATTTTTTTTTTACATGTTATACATTGTATGTTTGCCTTGAATTATTTTCACAAGATATAAATTATTCATTAGCTATAAATTATTTTTACTTGCTATCAACTGTGTGTTTGCTATAAATATTTATGTGTTACTGCTTTTCTTAACTGTCATTCCATTTATATTTCTCCACTTCTTGAAAATTCACATTATCACACGTACAAGCGAGGTGTGTTATTTGCACCCACAATTTTTTTTCTAAATTCTAAAATTTAGGAGAGTTGAGATATGTGCGGGGTGTCCGGATCTTTTTTCATGTGACCGCATAACCTTCTCACTCGAGTAATCCACTTGGAACTTTGTGTGTAGTAAAACCACTCCTAGTTTACCTAGAGTAGAGCTAAACTAACACATTTTAGAAGGAGCATACATCATTTCATGACCTAAGAGGCTTGATACTCTTGGTGTATTAAGTCCATTAGTCGACTTTACCTTAAATGTCCAAGTGGGTTTCCGACCCAAGTGATGACATATCATTATTTATATGCATATTTGAGAAATTTTTATGCCTAAATATGTACCATTTGCTCCAATTAATTATACTTTAAGGGTGGGGGGGGGTATGACTAACATTTCCGTGACAGGTACAAAGACTTGACGTTGGAGTACAAGAAGCGTCGATATTACCAAAAGGAACCAAGAAGGAGGGACATAACAAATTCTATTTCACTTTATTTTGATTTAAAAGCACTTTACGTTGTATTCATTCGACATGTAATAAAATTTATGCTATCTTGTACTTTTTTTTTTGTAGAAATAAAATTTAATTAATCAAGAGAAATAGAATGACATACTATGGCAAATATATTCCTCAGATTTACATCAGGCCTACCTCCGGCACAAAGAGATCACAAGTATATTAGAATGCGTTTACATGTTATTTTTACAACTTATTTGACTCTACTTGATGACTTGTTTGTATGTTATTTTTATAACTTATTTGACTTGCTTGCGATGTGACTTATTTGAGTTTATGTGAATATGACTTTCCTATTTCATTTAAAACTAACATTATTTTTGTTTTTTTTCTTTTATTTTTTCCCTACCAAAGTTGATTCGTGTTGACAACCGAGCTGGCCGACCATACTTACTTCACAAGGTCCAAGTCATCGACATTACCTCGACGTAGTTGGCCTATTCAAGGAAGAAAAATCACTATGACTAATCCAACCACGTCTTATCCAATTGGTATAGGACATATCATGATTCCTAATGACTCTCCCAAGACTTCTATAGATAGAACTACTATTCAACATGATGATCACATCGTCTGCTTGACTCAAGAGATTGAGGATCTACGTAGTGAACTAACTTGGGTTAGGGATTTGACCAATTTATCAATCACACTCCAAAGTCCAGTTCTTGAACCTAGAAGTACCACACCAAACCCACCTCGTTTTCCATCACTTTATTCACCAGTTCTTGAACACTTTCCTCCACAACAACCTCTGCCTACCAACAATAACCTTCTTCCAACTACTCCAACAAATCCATCAAATTTGCCACCCATCTAAACTCCTCCAGAAATTCAACCACCTACCTACACTACCTATGCTACTCCTAATCCACCACCTGTCAACCCATAAAATCAACCTCCAACTCATACTCCTTACGTTTCTCTACCCACTAACACCTATCCATTCCCTACAACTACTCTCGTAAATCCATCGAATCCACCACCTCTAATATAAAATACACCCATTGTCCAAACTTATCCAGCTCAGCATATACAAGGAGCACATATTGCCACTCCTTATGCACAACATGTTCCTCCAGTATATGCAGTGGAAACTCAAGCTTTTACCCAACCCAATATTGGTCAAGTTTCAACCCGAGGTAGATCAATATGAGGAGATGAAGAAAGATGTCAAGGTAAAGGTTGATGATGTGTTAGCTAGAGAGATTCATGATCTTAAGGAAGCAATGAGAAACCTCCAAACTACTAGGAGAAACCAAAGCCTAGAATATGAGGATATGTGTGTGCAGCCTGACATTGACTTGCCTGTAGGGTACAAACTGTCAAAGTTTGATATATTCAATGGAATTGGTGACCTTCACACACATCTAAGGGCATATTGTGACAAACTGGTAGGAGTGGGGATAGATGAGAGGGTCAGAATGAAGTTATTGTTAAGAAGTTTATCTGGTGAAGGTTTTGCTTGGTACACACAACAAGATCCCCATAAATGGCATGGTTGGAGTGATATGGCACAAGACTTTATGGATCGATTTAAGTTCAATACTGATATCACACCAGATAGGTTCTACCTGACTAAGTTAAAGAAGAAGTCAAATGAGACATTTCATGAGTATGCTCTACCTTGGAGGTCACAAGTAGCTAGAGTCCAACCGCCGATGAGTGAAAGTGAAATGACTGCTACCTTCATTGAATGCCAAGATAGCAGTCTTTACTATGAGAAAATGATAACCATGATGGGAAAAAAGTTCACAGAAATCATTAGAATAGGAGAAATCTTGGAAGAATGAATCAAATCAGGAAGAATCCAAGACTTTACAGCCTTGCAAGCTGCAAGAAAAATGATTCAATATGGTTATATCAATGTAAACAAAAAGAAGAAAAGAGATGCATATGCTGTCATGATTGACCAAAGATGTGGGCCAGGTCAACTTCCACCCTACCTAAATCAACCTCATCAACCCATTTACCCTTACCAATTTGGTGAAGCCTCAAAAACTCTCTACCTTTCTCCATCAACTCCTTACCATGTCTACAACACCCAAGCAAACTACTATCAACCTCGAGCTCCTACTTACAATAAACCACATTCATACCAACCAGTCCAAGCTTCAACTTTTCAAAATCGACCATATGTTGCACCTAGAGCTCGTCCAGATCATGAAATCAAAACCACTTGCAACTATACCAAAATAGCTGAACCATTGGTTCAGTTGTTTGAGAAGTTAAAAACAACAGGTATGATACAAACAATTGGAGGGAAAATTCCTGATCCTATTCCAAATTGGTTTGATAGTTCCAAGCGTTATGCATATCATTCTGGAGTTGTTGGACACAACACTAAGGATTGCTATGGTCTCAAAAACAAGATTGAAGCTTTCATTAAAGAAGGAGAAATCCAACTTACTGGACCTCCGCCCAACGTGAACAATAACACTCTGCATAAACATGGAAATGCTAACGTGAACATGATAACTGTCGAGGAAGATTTGGATGTGAAAGGAAGTATTGTTCCAATTGAAAAGGTGAAAGAGGACACTTTATCTTCCTTTGATGCTTCTGCTATGACAATCCAGGAACAAACAACGATAGAGGTTACTGCTACAACTATTTACATGCCTCTCTATAACATTGAGAAACCGACCATTTGGGGTGCTGAACGAGAGGAGAGTTTGAAGAATTAGATTTGTACTTCGTCCTTGGTTCGCTGGGAGTCTTGGTAGATTGAACAAGTAGTAAAACTTTTTGAAGTAGCACGATTTTAAAAATTGAAGCTTAAATTGTGCCGTAAAATTTTATGTTGTTTTGCCTCATTATTTTTGAAATCTTAATTGCAAAATCTATGAATGCATTTTCTATTTTCTTAATTGCCTCTTACTTAGTAATTTCAAATATTTTTAATATATCAATTTTTAATGTGCCAACTCTATGATTGTGACATAATGAAACAAATGAACAAAGTTTGATGTCGAGCAATATGGTAAAATATGTGAAGATGACTTAGAATTGGACGATCAACCATGGAACGTGACAACATGACAATATACAAGCATGAAAAAGTCAAGACATTATCAAGGGCGACTTTAGATAGGTTTCTTTTGTATGTAACTTCCACTTTTCATGTTTTGTGAACTACGTTATGATTCCTCCGGTAGGATACATAGCCAGCCCGTATAAGGTTCAATTTTACTATAGGACATTTCTAAATTTCCTTATTTGTAACAGGAGAACTACGTCTGACTTGATTTCCTTGGTGGGATACGTAGGCCACCCATAGACAGTTTAGTCACATTAGGATAGAAATTCAAAATCCTTTTACTATTTATGTAATTTGAACTACACATGACCCCATTTCCTTGGTGGAATATGTAGGCAATCCAAATCAGATTTGGTCCCATTATTAGAAATATTCTTTCTATGTACTTTGAACTACTTTCTGACCTGATTCACTTGGCGAGATACCTAGGCGTCCTATATAATATTCGGTCTCACGACAACATAAATTTAGTATACTTCTCTGAAATTAACACTGGGGCAGATTTTGGAAGACATGGTCAAGGAATGACTGAACATTGTCATGCTATAAGCTACTGCCTGACAAGAAGTAACATACAAAAGACGTTCATTTTGTTTCTAATTGTCACAATCTAAGAGTTGGTAGAAATTATTTTTTTACAACTTATAAACATATACTTGCATATTTTTCTGCACACTGAAAATATCTCTTTCAAATTATAATTTTTTATTTATTTATATAAGATATACTTTCTTTAACTGTTCATCTACCAAGTCTCAAATGAAGATCACAAGATCTGAACAAACAGGATGGCAAAAGGCCAACAAAGTCAAGCTTCAAGTTAATGCGAATCAACAGCCCCTCCCAACTAAATTTTTTTCTTTGAGTGCAGGAATAACAAAGATACAAGATGTCAATATATAATTACATTAAAGGCGTTATTTGCTTCCAGGGCCTCGTCTGAATAAGCCAAATGACCCCACCTTTTACTTTACTCTAACTTTATTTCTTTTACTTCATCATGAATTTATATTCTTACTAATGTCTTTAGCCAAAATCTACAGGTAAAATCCCCTCGATTTATTGAATAAAAGTCAAGTCCATTACAGGCGCCACTCGATCTACCAAATTGCACATCAAGGCTTAAATGTCGAAGACCAGAGTTTATGTTCAACTAATTACAATCATCGACATCAACAACAACCGAGTAACTTAACTAATTTTATTTTTTACTTCATTAAATACCTTTATAATTCACTTTGTCCACCTTAGCTACTTATTTTTGAATTTTACAGGAATCAACAATAAGCTTCCAAAGACAACTGAAGACATCGCTCAACCCCCACAATCATCAACAACACGACTTTATTTCTCACTTACCTTTATTTTATTTTATTTTAATTTATCATGACTTCATTTATAATTTTACTCTACATTTTTATAAAAATTGACATCAAGCCTCGAAAATAATCAGAGGCATCACTTTATCAAGCCCCGAAGACAATCAGAGGCATCATTAAAACTAGTCCCCAAAGACAATCGGAGGATATTAGGCTTGTCCACCTTCAGTACAATATATTGGGTGTGTCCACCCTAAAATAGGACATATTTGGGTTCGCCCACCCTAAAATAGGATATATCAAGTTCGTCCACCCTAAAATAGGACATGGGTTCATCCACTCTAAAATCTGATATATTGGGTTAATCCACCCTAAAATAAGACACAGGTTCGTCCACCCTAAAATAGGACAAGTTGGGTTTATCCACCCTAAAGTAGGATATACACACATTTGGGTTCATCCACCCTAAAATAGGATACACACACATATTAAACCCATTCTTTATGATGTCATGAACAACTTTACCTTTTTTACAAACATCATTTATTATTAAGACCCCGAAGACAATTGGAGGCCTCATTTAATATTCAAGTCCCCGAAGACAATCGGTGGCCTCATTTATCATTTAAGTCTCTGAAGAAATCATAGACATTATCACATCATCTGCATAAGCCAGACGACTACATTCTTATTTTATTCACTACTTTAACAATTACTTTAATCTATTTTACCTACTTCAACAACTTTATCTTATATTTTACTGACATCATTTATCATTAAGTCTCTGAAAATAACCAGAGGCGTCATTTGTCATTATATCTTCGAAGACAACCAAAGACACTAATTGGCCATACGACCCTATCATCATATGCCATAATTCTCAACATCAAGTCTTCGTAGACAATCAAAGGTGTCTTTATTTACCAAGTCTCTAAAGACAACTAGAGACAACATTTAATCACTCACCTTTGTCATCTCATAAGTCACACGACTTCATTCTTATTCTCACACATATATATTACCATTTTATTAATTTATACATTCTTAAACTTTAGTTTTATCCCAACATGAAACTTTCTCTTAGCAGTGAACTGGGGTAAATTTGCTGAAGAGGAATATCAAACTCATTAGCAGTGGTCAAGGATCTACTCTCGAACTCATTTCTGCCTACATCCCACGAATACGTAATATGTAGGTTATCCAAAATTTCCTTCCATAACCACCTCTACATCTCAATTCAATTAACTCATTTTGTGACTCCTCGAGGCTAAAAATCCTTTAGTGTCACTCTCATCAAATTCTCCCCTACCCATATTTGTTGGCTGAGAAAATTTTGATATTAAGTCAACTTCTTTGCCTGAAAACTTTTTCATCGTCTCCGATCAAAGAGGGCAAGTTATTGACACTCAATTTTGTCCCTCTTTTCTTGTAATTCATTCTATTGAGCTTCTAAAATAATAACTTAAATATTTTGTATTCACTATTAGTTTTGGTTATTACTACTGTTATCGTAATTATCTATTACTCTAACCTTTATTATTTTTATGGTTATCATCCTTTTATTATCATTTTCTCTATTTTAAAATTGTATATTTCATATCAAAACGATTTCATATTGTTGTCTTCTTTAAAATGATTGCAATTACTTTATCTCAAGTTTCTTACTTACTAAACTTTGTACATATATATATTATACTAGTTATTAAATTAGAAGTTCAAAGGAATTAAATTAAAAGAGGAGCACGCCATAAATAAAAAGAATTGGACAAAGTGAGTCCAAAATTCGTCCTAATATAAGCCTAAACAAAATGCAATTCTTTTCATTTAATTCATCCCTTTTTAGAATCCAAACAACAGCCCAAATTTGTTCTTTCAAGACAATGTTGAAGACTACCAGATCTAGGGTTTGAGACTCTCTCTCTATCCTAAGCAGCCCCCCTTTTGTCTTCTTTCTCATTTTTAATACAATTCCAACTTTGTCAGACAAAAGATAAAAAATGCTATACTATTTTCGTGAAAGCTTCCTATACCTATTTCAATATATTCATCAAGATGCATTTGAGTCCAACACATAGCAGATATGGCTTCAGAAATGAGCTCACCATTTCGAGCATAAATCTGACCAGATCACGTGAAGGCCATGTCTATCCAAGAACACAACATTCAAATTTCAAAATACATCTTTTTCAACTCAAAATCCTACCCAAATGACCATCTAGAGCTTAAACCTCTTCTATAAATATTTCCTCTGTTTTTAGTACAAAAAAAGAGTTTTGGTTGTGAAGAAAAATCACCCAACAAGCTTTTACACTCACAAGAACATCACTTTTATATTTGAATATTGCTTACAAAGGATTTTCGAATCTCCTCTCTTTTGCACATGACTTTATTTGAGAAACGGATGTAGATTCGAGGCCTTTAGTTTCCCCGTTCA